AGACTATAGATTGACTTTTACATATTGGGTTTGGACAAAACATGAAAAATATTCATAGGATTTGTCAGTTGCTGTCCAATCTGTTTGCGAGTTGGCAAAGGAAATTAGCAAAATGGATACAAATCCAAACATCATGAATGTTTAAAAATGTAAATGAAAAACTAAATTGCTAATTAACCGTAACAAATCTGTTTTATATTAAATATTCAGTTACATTCTAAAATTTTGGGTCTATAAGATTAATTATAAAAATTAATAATTTTATTCAGCAAGGATGCATAAAATTGATAAAAAGTGACAAAGTGACTTTTAAATTTTGAAAAACGATTTCAAATAAATGCTATTCCCTTTCGTTGTCACATCAGTTCCGTCGGATGGCCTATCGTTGGAAGCCTATCAGTTTTGCTCAATATAAAACGAGCCAATTGCAAAGAAATGCCTTGGGTCTTCGGATTTTGCATAGCAAATCTCCCCCTCACCTTTTAAGTATATAAGGAGGACGCTGGCAGCAAAACAGACATGTTTTCACTTTGGAGCCAAGAGTATCTCTTCACTCCACAGCCATTTCTGACTTTTCTACGAGACGAGCCACTCTCTCCGGTGTTGGTTTGATGGCGATCTGCAGCGAGTTCACATTGCCTGTTGGTCTGTGGAGTGATCTGCGAGTGAATGTGTTTCTCCCTGCTCGCTTCAACATTGCAGAGTTTTTTGCTCAGCCCATACTTCATTGTCCTGAAGAAAACCGGTGGGTTACGGCCAATCCTGGACCTGCGCGTTCTGAAACGCTCCCTTCACCGGTTGCCATTCAAGATGCTCACCGCCAAACACATTTTCGAATGTGTGCGGCACCAGGATTGGTTTGCAGCGATCGACCTGAAGGACGCCTACTTTCATGTCTCCATTCTCCCTCGACACAGACTGTTCCTGTGGTTTGCTTTCGAGGGGCTAGGCATATCATTACGCGGTTCTCCCATTCGGGCTAGCCCTGTCTCCTCACGTCTTCACGAAGGTTGGTGAGGCAGCCCTTGTTCCCCTCTGGGAACACGGGGTTCGCATCCTGATCTCGACGACTGGCTGATCCTAGCTCACTCTCGAGACCAGGTTTGCGAACACAGGCACCTAGTGCCGCGGCAACGCCGCTCGGATTGCTTCATATGAGACCGCTTCAGCTTTGGCTTCGCGACAGAGTCCCAAGGTGGGCATGGCAACACGGCACTCTCCGAGTACCAGTTTCTACCAACCTGCCGTCAGACCTTCACCCCGTGGTCGAACCTCAGTATATGGGGCGGAGTGCACCTAGTTCGAGCTTCCAGGCATGTTGTTGTAATGACAGATGCCTCCACCACGGGGGGTTCCATGTGCAATGGACGTGCTGCCGTGGGCTCCTGGACAGGACCCCAGCGCCTATGGCATGTCAATTGCCTCCAGTTGCGTGCTGTACAGCTCGCCCTGCGCCGCTTCCGAGCCGTGCTCAACGGACGCATGTACTAGTCCGTTCAGACAATACACCTTTACACCTTAGACTTGCTCCCTCTTTAAGTTATTTTAAACGAAATTTAAAATTGCATTTGCTAGAATTAGCGTTTGGATCAGTAGGTTAATTTGGTAGGTTATTTGGAGGCACTTTACAGATGTTTGATGGTTGTTGTCTTGTCTGAAAATACATTTTATGTAAATAAAACGTATGTCACAACTCGCCCGCCACCTCCTCATATGGAGTCAGAATTATCTGAGGCCGCACAGATAGATCTGTTTGTCTCTCATGACTCGACCCATTACGCCCAGTATTATTCCCTGACGAGGGCACGCTCTGCATGGATGCACTGGCGCACAGCTGGCTGCTGGTCAGGGAGCCCTGCACAAGGTCAGGGAGGACGAGGAGCAGGTTATTCTGGTCGCACCATCTTGGCCCACCCTGACTTGGTTCTCCGAACTCATTCTCCTCGCAACAGCACCTCTATGGCCCATTCCTCTGAGGAAGAACCTCCTTTTTCAGGGACGGGGCACCCTGTGGCACCCTCGTCCCAATCTTTGGAACCTCCACGTGTGGCTCCTGGACGAGACGAGGCAGGTTTGAGTACCCTACCACCTGCGGTGTTGGCTACCATCACTTCCGATAGAGTGTCGTCCACAAGACACGTCTACGCCTTAAAGTGGAACCTCTTCGTCAACTGGTGCTCTTCTCACTGAGAATACCCCCAGAGATGTTCGATCAGTGTTGTGCTTTCCTTCCTTCAAGATGGGTTGGAGCGAAGGATGTCTCCCTCCACCCTCAAGGTCTATGTCGCCGCTATTGCCGCACACCATGACCTTAATGAAGGTTAAGTCGGTAGGGAAGCACGACCTGATCGTCAGGTTCCTGAGAAGAGTGGGGAGACTGAATCCTCCTCGCCCTCCTGTCGTGCTCTCTTGGGACCTCTCTGTGGTCTTAACTGCCCTGCGAAGTGCTCCCTCTGAGCCTTTGCAATCAGTCAAGCTCAATGAAGACAGCGCTTCTGATTGCATTGGCCTCCATCAAAAGGGTAGGGGACCTGCACGCATTCTTGGTTGAAGAAGCGTGCCTGGAATTCGGGCCAGGTTACTCTCACGTGATCCTGAGACCCCTGCCTGGATATGTGCCCAAGGTTCCTACCATTCCCTTCCAGGACCAGGTGGTGAACCTGCAAACGCTGCCCCTGGAGGAGGCAGACCCAGCCTTGGCACTGCTCTGTCAAGTACATGCTCTCCGCATCTATGTAGACAGAACGCAGTGTTCAGGACCTCAGACCAGCTCTTTGTCTGTTATGGTGGGAAGATGAAGGGAAAGGCTCTCTCCAAGCAAAGGTTGTCCCACTAGGTATTGGACGCCATTGCTTTGGCATACCAACAGCAAGGTCGACCGTGCCCCCTTGGTGTGTCTGCCCACTCCACCCGGAGTGTGGCATCTTCTTGGGCTCTAGCGCTCGGCGTCTCGCTAATGAACATCTGTAGAGCTGCAGGCTGAACGACACCCAACACATTCGCCAGATTCTCTAATCTCCGAGTGGAGCCTGTGTCCTCTCATGTATTCGCTTCAACCAGCTAGTACTGGACCCGCTCAGGTGTCTTCGCTTGCTCGCCGTTTCACTCCACAGACTGGATACGTGCAATATTCTCTTCAGATGAGCCTCATAAGCCCTGAGTTCCTCCAGCACTCCTGACGTTGGCGCCAGTGTCTATTGCCTGTGCGTCAGCTAGGTGCCTCCCGTGTGCATGGTCCCTCCCCTGAGCGACCCCCACATGTGTATTTCAACTGTAAGCCTCTCTGAGCATGTGACTTTCCCTCAGCAAGCCACCTTGCCACCCCTATGGGATATGCTCCCCAGTGTACCTTGGTATTCCTGTGCTAAATAGGAGTCCTTCGTCCGTGCCAGTCTCACGACAAGGATCTCAGATTTACGCAGAGCACTGGAAGACAGCTGAGAAGGATTCCCTGAATAAAAAGGTGAATTTCTGCTGAAAAGAAAGAACAGTAACACTAACACGGAAATATTAAACAGCACACTGTGCAACATTGACATTAATAATAAGAAATGTTACTTGAGCACTAAATCATTACTAGAATGATTTCATGTGACACTCAAGACTGAATTAATGGCTGATGAAAATGCAGGAATAAATTACATTTTTGAAATATATTGAAATAGAAAACTGTTTTAAATTGTAATCTTTCACAATATTGCTGTTTTTACTGTATTTTTGTAATCAAATAAATGCAGCCTTGGTGAATACATGCACGCACCACACACACACACAAACATATACTGTTGTAATATATTTTAATATATGCAATATATTCCTGCGATGGCAGGAATATATTGCATATATATATATAAATATATATATATAGTCATATACTGTAACTGTCTATAACTTTTCAACATTGATAAAAATAAGAAATTATGTTTGTGTGTTTGTATAGATAGATAGACACAATGATAGATCAAATTATCATCAGAATTCTGTCTATTCATTCTATTTCAAAAACCAAGATTAAAGTGCCCCTATTATGCTATTTTAAAGGTTCCTCATTTTGTTTTTGAGGTCTCCTACAATAGATTTACATGCATCCAATGTCAAAAAATATTTACATTTTCTCATAATATGCATTGCACATCACCTCATTTCTCAAAGAGTCTGAAACAGTTTAGATCCTGTCTCTCCAAACCCGCCCTTTCGGAAGCCTACTCTGCTCTTATTGGTCAGAAGGCCCAGTCTGTTGTGTTGATTTGAAAAAAGCCATTTTTTATAGTCTATGGAAAAAGCATAATAGGTGCACTTTAAGCTAATACCAAAGTTGTATGTGAATGTGACAAATTTAGAAAAACTTCCTTCCCCTGAGAGTAAGAGTTAGGATTAGTGCAGAAGCTAAACTCTTAAACCTAATCTGTTGAACAACTGAATTCCTGGTAAAGCAGTTAAACATTTGATTTCATTTGGTGATTAATGCCAGATGTCTGCATAGCAATTAAGAGCAGGCTAGAGAGAAACGAGTAGGCAATCAGTCTAGTTAGTAACTTTGGAAGTTGAAAATGAGCCACAAAATAGAGTATTACAAAAGCCTTGAAAAGATTGACCCTCTACTTATCACAAAGTGCAAGTGAAGTACAATCCTTTGTTTACTTCAACTTACATATATGCTTGATAATCTGAGATCAATTCCTGCAAGCTGATTACTTGTTCCTGAGTCATGCCCACCTCCTATATTTTGTGCCAGGTTGGTGTCAACACTGAAATCACTCTGCTTAAACAAAAACTATGACTTTGTAGGTTCCTGCTTTTACTCCGATTTCATTTTTTTAAGCGGCTCGTGAGTGAGTTGTTATCAACAGTTTATGTGCTTTATTTTTTGTTAAATTCGTTATACTTTCTTGCTTTTTCTTTGTTTGTGTCCATCTGTGTGTAATCGTGTGTTGTGTGCTTTTTGATTCCTATGTTTGTGTTGTTATGCTTGTGTGTACTTTGTGTGTGTACATGTGCAGGGTGGAGTGACCATCGACTTAGAGTTGCTCCTCCCCAAAGAGGTGAAAATGCTCCCTGAAACAACCCCCCCGCTTCACTACAACGTCTTCCTCTACAAGCTCCCTAAATCCCCTAAAAAGTCCCCCGGCAGATCCGCACAGGGGAGGCCTCTGTCCCAGCTCTGCTCCAGACGCAGCTCCGAACCCGGCTACAGCCCCATTAGTACGCGCTCCTTACCTGGAGTGCTCTCCGGGTCATCCAGCCCCCACCTGGGTACGGCCTACACACCTTAGTACGAGTGGAAGCCTTCAACACTGTCTGATGTATGACGACTTGAACAAAAGAAATGTCTTGACCGTTACAAATTATGAGACATTGATTGTTAACAAGTGAGTGTTTTGAATGATCAAGGCATTGATTCATTTGGACGTGAAACAATATATGAATATGAATATGTGTTGTGCAACAGGAATAAAAAGGGAAATAAGAAGTTGAAAAACTGTTAATTTGGTATTACAAATACAAAATAGGTTTTCAGATGTGTTAATGGTGCCATGTTTTATGTTGTATTTTGTCAAACAGCACATTTATATTCACACACATGCATACACGTGTAACCTGTAAACAATCAGGGTATACAAATTAATAACTATTATTATTAACAAGGTGCTTTTTGTGTTTTTAATGTTAGATTAATACTTTCACTGAGAATAAAGAATTTTAGAATTGTTTAATTTGACATTGTTTATTATTGGTTCCTTGGATAAAAATGTGATATCATTTTCATCGTCTGTAAAAATTATAGAAAAATAGGTTTATTTTTTCTGCAAATTTGATTAATTTAAAAAATAGAATTTGGATATGGTCACATTTGTCACACTGCAGTACTATTTAACTGCAAAATGGATTTAAAATAATAATAAAAAATTGGATTGCTTATAACTTACCCTAAAATCTTTGTTTAAAAACTACAGTTCCCTTTCGTAGTCACTCTGAGTTACATCGGATGACGGAGAATGGGGGTTTCGCATAGAAAGCCAATCCTCTTCGAGTATTTAAAAACGAGCCAATGGCATGAAGATGCCTTGGGGCTGCGGAATTTGCATAGCGTATCTCCGTCCCACCTCATGGGCAGTGTTGTGCAAGTTACTTCCAAACTGTAATACATTAGGTATTACTTGTTACTGTTATTTAAAAGTAATTCATTACCCTACAATATTACTGTCCCAGAATTGTAATGCGTTACATTACTCATGTATTACTTTTGAGTTACTTTCACCAAAATAACTAAGTAGAACTTAACTTTTGGGCTGTAACGATATGCAATATGAAACCGAAATCGCGATTCGCCACACGACTCAGATCCACGAACCTACAGAATCGCGACACACCTCTTCCAACTCCAGCGTTATTCTCCTTACCGTCCAGATCCAATGCTGCCTTATCTTTAAATTAGGCTATTAGTATTATTTGAAGTTAACATTATAAAATACGTAGACCTACACCACAAAACTAGTTGAGGATAAATTATTTAAAATTGGGGAAGTCCAGCATTATGGACATGATGACATTTGCAGTCAAAACTTGAAATAAAAATTCTCAGAAAATTCATGTATTGAAACGTATATAGGCTACTTCCTTAAAGGACTCCAGACATTAGACAAATATCAGTCTATGTTTTATTTTTAATATTAGGGAAAAGACACACATTCATGCATGACAAAAAAATAGGAGGCAAAATATATTTTTTGTAATTCTGTTAATTACACTGCGCAAATCGGATGAGGAAGGGTTGGCTCTCCAGTCTCCATAGAACTTAAAATATTCATTTTATTTTAGTTTTCGTGTTCGCATTTATGATGAAAAAACAATGTTACAGACGCGACCGCTCTGAACTGGCACTAAAAGACTGCTTTAAAACTTTCACATAGTCTGTTGCCTTTAAGAAGTAAAAGCAGACAATACACTGTAATACAACTGTAATACAAGCCTCACTGAACATGTAACGAGTAAAATATTACTGAAAATTGATTAGTAATGCCTTACACTACTGCGTTACAGCAAAAAGTAATATGTTACTGTAATGTATTACTTTTGTAATGCGTTACTCCCAACACTGCTCATGGGTATAAAAGGAGAAAGCAGACGCAACTGCAGTATGTTTTCACTTCGGAGCCAAGAGAACTTCTTCACTCCACAAGCCACACAATCTGAGTTTACTACTGTGACTCACCTCTTCGAGACGGGCAAACTCTCTGGCTGTTGGTGTGACGGCGGTATCCAGCGAGTTTCACATTGCCTGCGATCTGAGCAGTGGTCTGCCAGTGTGTGTGTCTCTCCCTGGTCGCTTCACCATCCGCTGAGTTTTCTCCTCTCACTGAAAGAGTGTGCATGCGGCACGTCTTTGTAAAGACGCGTCTTTTTAAAGATGATCTGCCCGTGTATTCCTGAGTGCGATATTCTGATGAGTCAGCTGATGGGCGCGAGCGCTGTTTGACGTGTTTGGGCTTTGATCATGCTCAGACAGCGCTCGTGGGTGTGTCACGTTCTCTCAGTGGGAACGTGACCATCGCAATGTATAGTGATCTAGGACGTCAGGTCTGGAACTAAACCGACGAAAATTCCTCTGTCCACACCCCGTCTTTCACGTTGCAACCCACGTGGTCCTGAGTGAGTTCGCGGCTGCCAATTTTTTTTCATTTTTTAAATAAAAGGGCCCGCGTTCTCATTCGGTACCCCAGTCACAAGGTGAGCTGTAGTTCTCTGGAGTTGGCTCGTCTGTGCTGCTGTCCTCGGATGTGCTGGCATAGCGAGTTAGATTCAGAGTTCACAGCTATGCTTCCCGGGCTGCCACGAGTGTTGGGTTTGTGTGGAAAATTCTGCCATGTCCCGAGCACTTTAGGCTGATGATTGGTTTTTGGGGGTGGGGAACCCAAATCCTTTCTACCCGGATGTGCATGAAGAGGCCATGAGATTGTGGAAGTCTCTTTGACTTTCGCGACTGCTCAGCGGCCTCTTCCGCCTTCTCTGCCCTCGTAGAGGCCGCAGTCTAGGGTGCACTGGGCTTCCCCCCTGTTAAATGTTCTGTGGCAACACTTAGGTGTCCCCACAGCACCTCCACCTGGTGTGGCAACCCTGAGCACCCCCTCCCCCCAATGCCGTAGGTTCTTGTCTACTCCGGTGGTGGGACCTATAGAGCTGCGGGGCAGGCTGCCACCTCACTGTGTGTTATTGCCATCCTTTGGGGTGTGCAGTGAAATGCACGAGGGTAGGGCTGATTCAGGGCTCATCCTTGAGCTGCCTGCCGTCACCGACTTTGCTCTACGAGCGACGAAGGTGACCGCATGCTCCCTGAGTCAGGTGATGTCCACATGCGTGGTCAGACATTTCTAGCTTAACCTGGTTGATGTGCGCAAGGCTGAGTGAACCAGTTTCCTCAACTTCCCCATATCCCAGGCTGGCCTCTTCGGCGGCGCGGTCAAGAACGCTGCCCAACAGTTCTCGGCCGCCCAGAAGCGGACTCTGGCTTTTGTCTGACTCTGCGGTTTCTGCTGCAACTAGCCACCGGCTCAAGATGCTTCAGTCCGCTTGCCGCCGAATGCGCCCTCTACCACTTCCGCCCCCTCCCATGCGGCCTCAGAAGCACCGGGCCGTGCCATGGAGGTGGTCGCAAGGAGGCGCCCCTGCCCGTACCAGCCCCGCTGCGTTGCTCCCATTACGGGCAGCTCAGATATGGCTTGCAGTTCTTCAGGGAGTGGTCACAGGCCCACTCCTTCCCCCGGTGGATGGCTGGGGGAGAATCTTTTCTTCAAAGAGCTGCATTCCATCTCTGAGCACACAGAGCAAGATGAAAGTGCGCAACGCCCCCGTGCCTCACCACTCTCATTCTCCTCTGTCTCTGAGGGTGCGGATGGGAGTGTGTGTCGTCCCATCCCCCTCTATCGCCAAGCCCCCGGCAGAGCAGACCCCCGTGGAACGCTGGTCCTTCCCTGGTCTCCTCTGACGGGGCACGGAGCTCGACTGTGCATCCGCGGGGGGTAACACCTGGTCTACTGGTCTCTCCACCCCGCTGCCCCTCCGGGGGGACGTCTGTGGCTTGGATGATCCCACTGGATCGGTTCTGGGAGCTTGGTTAGAGCTCCCGGGCCTGTCCCGCTGGGTCGCCCGAACGATCAGACTCGGCTATGCGATTCAGTTCGCACGATCTCCTCCCCGCTTCCGGGGAGTTCGCTTTACGGTGGTCGGTGGCTATGCCCCGATCACGAGAGCGGAGATTGCCGCCCTGCTGGCGAAGGGTGCAATCGAGACTGTCCCTCCAGCCGTGATGAGGTCTGGGTTTACAGCCCTTACTTCATTGTCCCCAAGAAGACCGGTGGGTTACGACCGATCCTAGATCTTCGCATTTTGAACCGTGCTCTTTACTGACTGCCGTTCAAAATGGTCACAGCCAAACGCATTTTCGAGTGCATTCGGCCTAAGGATTGGTTTGCAGTGATAGACCTGAAGGACGCGTACTTTCATGTCTCCATCTTACCTCGACACAGACCGTTTCTTCGGTGTGCTCTCGAGGGACAGGCATATCAGTACACGGTTCGTATTAGGGTTTCCGAACACAGAGACCTTGTGCTTCAGCACCTAACCCGTCTGGGCCTTCGGGTCAATCGGGAGAAGAGCAAACTTTGCCCCGTGCAGAGGATCTCTTTTTTTGGCATGGAGATAGACTCGGTCGCCATGTCCGTGCAGCTCACGAGCGAGCGGGCGCACTCACTGCTGACTTACCTTCGACAGTTCGAGGGCAAGAGCGAGGTCTAACTGGGGGCATATTGCATCCGCAACCGCTGCCACGCCGCCCGGACTGCTTCATATGAGACCGCTACAGCTGTGGCTTCGCGATCGAGTCCCGAGTTGGGCATGGCATCGCGGTACGTTCAGAGTTCTAGTGACTCCGACCTGCCGACCTTCGCCTCCCACGACTCATCTCATTGCGCCCTGTATTACTCTCTGACCGAGGGCACGCTCGGCACAGACGCCTTGGCGCACAGCTGGCCGCGGGGTCTACGCAAATTCGCGTTTCCCCCAGTGAGCCTTCTCGCACGCACTCTGTGCAAGATCAAGGAGGACGAGGAGCAGGTCTTGTTGGTAGCCCCTTATTGGCCCACCAAGACCTGGTTCTCCGAACTCGTACTCCTCGCGACAGCACTTCCTTGGCCAATTCCTCTGAGGAAGGACCTCCTCTCTCAGAGACGGGGCACCCTGTGGCAACCTCGTCCCGATCTGTGGAGACTGCACGTGTGGCTCCTGGATGGGGACGAGGCAGGTTTCAGTACCCTGCCACCTGTGGTGGCGGCTACCATCACTTCCGCTAGAGCGTCGTCCACTAGACACGTCTATGCTTTGAAGTGAAACCTCTTCGTCAACTGGTGCTCTTCTCGCCGAGAAGACCCCTGGAGATGCTCGATCAGTGTCGTGCTTTCCTTCCTGCAAGAAGGGTTGGAGCGAAGGCTGTCTCCCTCCACCCTAAAAGTTTATGTGGCTGCAATTGCCACATTCCATGAAGCAGTCGAAGGTAAGTCGTTGGGGAAGCATGACCTGATCATCAGGTTCCTGAGGGGAGCGAGGAGACTGAATCCTCCTCGCCCTCCTCTCGTACCCTCTTGGGACCTCTCAGTGGTTTTAAGTGCCCTGCAGAGGCCTCCCTTCGAGCCTCTGCAATCAGTTGAGATTAAGTTCCTGTCAATGAAGACAGCGCTCCTGGTTGCACTGGCCTCCATCAAAAGGGTTTGGGGACCTCCACGCATTCTCCGTTGACGAAGCGTGCCTGGATATCAGGCCGGCTTACTCTCACGTAATCCTGAGACCCCGGCCTGGATATTGTGCTCAAGGTTCCCACCACTCCTTTCCGGGACCAGGTGGTGAACCTGCAAGCGCTGCCCCTGGAGGAGGCAGACCCAGCCTTGGCACTGCTCTGTCCAGTACGTGCCCTCCGTGCTTACGTAGACAGAACGCGGTGTTTCAGGACCTCAGACCAGCTCTTTGTCTGTTATGGTGGGAGCCAGAAGGGAAGGGCTCTCTCAAAGCAGAGGCTGTCTCACTGGATAGTGGACACCATTGCTTTGGCTTACCAGCAGCAAGGTCAACCGTGCCCCCTTGGTGTGACGGCCCACTCCACCCGGAGTGTGGCTTCCTCTTGGGCTCTAGCGCATGGCGCCTCGCTAGCAGACATCTACAGAGCTGCAGGCTGGGCGAAACCTAACACACTCGCGAGATTCTATAACCTCCGAGTGGAGCCTGTGTCCTCTCTTGTACTCGCTCAATCGGCCAGTACTGGAACCGCTCAGGTGTCTTCGCTTGCTCGCCATTCCACTCCACGGACTGGATAAGTGCGGTACTTTCCTCAGCTGAGCCTTCCGTTGAAGCCCTGAGTCCTCCAGCACTATTGATGCTGGCGCCAGTGTCTGTTGCCTGTACGTCGGCTAGGTGCCTCTGTGTGCATGGTTCCTGCTTGTAACCTCCACATGTGTATTCTCCACTGTCAGCCTCTCTGAGCATGTGTCTTCCTTCGGCAAGCCACCTTGCCACTCCTAGAGCTAAAATTCTAGCCACCCTACGGGTTGGTGACTCCAGTGTTCCTCCATATGAAGCCCCCTTGGGCCATATGTGTATCCTTAAGTCCTCCCTACGGGTAGGCATACTGCGGCATATTCCTCTGGCATATGCTCCCCAGTGTACCTTGGTTTTCCTGTGTCAAGTAGGACTCCTCGTCTGTAAGCTAAGTGCGACAGGGGTTCAGACTTGCGCAGGGCACTGGAAGACAGCTGTAAAGGTGGCGTGATTACACGGGGGACCCCCATTCTCCGTCATCCGACGTAACTCGGAGTGACTACGAAAGGGAACATCTCGGTTACGTATGTAACCCTCATTCCCTGAGTAGGGAACAGAGACGTTACGTCTCCCTGCCACTTCCGCTGTACCCCAGGGTAGACAGTCTCGGCTCCTCAGCAAAGACATACTGCGGTTGCGTCTGCTTCCTCCTTTTATACCCACGAGGTGGGACGGAGATACGCTATGCAAATTCCGCAGCCCCAAGGCATTTTTATGCCATTGGCTCGTTTTTAGATACTTGAAGAGGATTGGCTTTCTATGTGAAACCCCCATTCTCCGTCATCCGACGTAACGTCTCCGTTCCCTACTCAGGGAACGAGGGTTACATACGTAACCGAGACGTTTCTGTCTATCAATTAGTATATTTGTCGAAAAGTTGTTTTGCGCATGCAATGTTTATGAGAGGACTGACTGATGTATTCTGATAATCTAAACTAATACCATGTTCTCTAACCAAGTCCTTTACAAAACCTCAATGCTAAGAGTGTGCTATTCTGCTCAAGCCAAAACCATCTTATTGAAAAAAAACTGGGTCAGTTCCTCTCCCAGCGCTCATTCCATCAAAGCAAGTCAAAAGCAAGGGTCGGCGTGCACAGACTGCTAAAATAAAAGAGGGTATTTTAGAAGAGTACAGGGCTCTTGAGCTCACTAAGACAAAACCATTTCTGACTAGCTGCAAACACACTGAGTGCATGGTCTTGTATTTGCCAGCCCATTTTCATGTGTACAGTACAATGGGAGACATCAATACTGAGTTCAATACTTGATTCCAGTCACTACCCATTAAGCAGAGTGAATTTTGTGACCTCTTATCCTAGGCTTTTCTCTGACCTGTTTATTAGTTTAAAAGAGTGTTTAAAAAAGATGCAAATGTTTATGACTTGATTAGTCTAAAAATCTGACTCAGTTTGAGCATCCCCATTTTATTATTTACAGCAGGATGTGCGTGTACTAATTCTGTGGTTCTTTGTGAAGCGTATTGATTTAATCTAGCCCATGAATCAACAAGCTCATTAGACAATCCTACATGACCAGAACATAACTAGACAGTGCCATCATATGGCCATATGAAGGTAGTGGTGCATTCAACAATACCCTTCAACAATGGTGCATTACACATAACAGTATGTTTATTGTATTATACACCACAATCTGTAGGTTTTGTTTTGTATACGAAATTAATCAGGACCACATAGTGTGAAGTTTCTAAGAATAGTCTTAGTATTAAAAGTGGGGTGTGGTGTGGAGTGATGGGTGGGAGGACACATAACTTAAAGGGTTAGTTCACCCAAAAATGAAAATTAAGTCATTAATTACTCACCCCCATGCTGTACCAACCCTGTAAGACCTTCGTTCATCTTCGGAACACAAATGAAGATATTTTTGATTAAATCTGAGAGCTGGATCAGTCCTATATAGACTGCCTAAGGGACTGGCTCTTGACAGCCCATAAAGTCATTAAAGAAAATGTTTAAATATTCCATGTGCGGTAATACTCCTAAGCGGTGAGCAGCCGGTAACAATAAGTAGTCGAAGAAGAACGTCGTCATCTCAGTTCTGCGCATGTGCCCATAAGGAAGTAATGGAATAGTCGAATTAAGTCGTTATTTATGTTTTTTTCGCACAAAAAGTAGTCTCATCGCTTGATAAACTTATAATTGAGCCACTGTAGGCACATGGAATATTTAAACATTTTCTTTAATGACTTTATGGGCTGTCAAGAGCCAGTCCCTTAGGCATTCTATGAAGGAGTGATCCAGCTCTCAGATTTAATCAAAAATATCTTCATTTGTGTTCCGAAGATAAACGAAGGTCTTACGGGGTTGGTACAGGATGGAGGTGAGTAATTAAAGACTTAATTTTCATTTTTGGGTGAACTAACCCTTTAAAACTAGTGAAAATTTACCTTTCACTATAAGGAACCTAAAACAATACTAGACATAGGGAACAATTTCAAAGCATTGGCTTGGATGCTACTGCATTTGGGAAAGCTGCTCCTCATACATTTGACCAAGCTTGAAAGTGGTCTACATGGAAGAGAACAACTGCACAAATCCAGGTGGATAAAGCTGCTAATTTTCAAAAAGGTGAACACATTTTCAAGTGAATTAGTTTAATACCGGTATTGCATTTTATACAGAAGCAACATCTCCACATAAAATAATGGTCAATGCAAGTCAGTCAAAAAGCATTTCCCTTTTTTTAAAATGAAATTGTTATGGTTGTGTTACGGTCTAATACAGAGTTAAAAGAAAGCAGTGTTTACAATTTATCACAAAAAGAACTAGAATAGTTTTAGTATCGAAAAAACACAATCTCCTCCTCCTCCTCCTCATCATCATCGTTGTCATCACTCTCAAAGTGCAGACTAAAGTGCTATTTAGGAATAAAAAATACAAAGAGTGATCCTAGACATAATATTATAGAATTGCATAGAAGCACAGAGCAAAAGCAGTTACCTTTATTTCTTGTAGCACACTTGGTAAATTATAGTTTGTAATTACCGATTCAGAGAGTACAGTGCAATTCTGTGTTAGTAGTGTACATGTAGAAAAGGCAAGTATTAGTGTGTGTTCAGACATTGTGCCCTCAACGTTTTGTGTTGCGACTACAAAGAACACAAATAAAAATATATTTTTTAACACCCCCTTTCGACATGCCCGTCATATTTGATTGTGCGATGTGTGGTGTCTTGACTATCATTGACGGCTTATGTACAGTTGTTGGTATGGGGCACAGCAAGAAACTGCTTTTATTATTGACTTTGAGAATTTATTAGTTTAGGATTCAATGCTTAGATTATCCACCTTGTTCTGGATCAGATTCAGAACTGTAGTGGATTCGAACGTCATGTCATCAGTTGGAGCAGCACTTGATGTGGAAGTGGATGGAACACCTGCGCTAGGAGTGGAAATCTGGTTCTGGGATGAAACCTGAACAGGTGATGGTATAGGAATGAGGGTGCTGGGAAGTGATAGTGGAACTGGATTGTCCATCATTGAGGCATCTCTTAGTCGAGATGATGGATGAGCTACATTTTGAGGGCCAAGTATTTGGCTTTGACCAGGAGTGTACATGGGTTGCCCCCCAGGGCCATTTAACATGGTATTGAATTGGGGTGGAATGGTCTGTTGTCTCATAGGTTGGTGGCCCATGTGTGTTGGTGCAAATGAATACGTATTACTTTGTGGAGTTCCAGCTCCTGGTGGCATTTGAGGCTGACTAAGTGGACGAGCACCATAAGGAATTTGGGAATTTTGGCTCAAGGGTGCCTGTGGAAAGATTTGAGAGCCTGGATGTACTTGTTGGGGTGCAAGGATTTTCCTAGGTTGCAAAGATGGAAAAAATGTGGCGGCATTCCCCATATAAGACTGAGGCATGTTTTGTGGAAGTTGTTCAGGATGGAACCGAGTTTGAGCTTGCCCTGGAATGAGGGCTCCATGAGGATGAGACACTGTCTGTTGGCCTGTTAGACCATGCTGGGGTTGGGTGTGGGGAACTAATGCAGGAGAGTAACCTGAGGGGAGGCCAGACTGTGTTTGGCCTGGCATGGGAGGTTGGACCTGTCCAGGTGGGAAGGGGGGAAGGATCTGCCCAGGAAATGCACTTACTGGTGCAGTTGAGGGGATGCTTTGTCTAGGCTGGGTGGTAAAGCTTTGGCACTGTGTTCCCTGTATGTTCTGTTGGACAGAGGAAGACTGAGTCATGACAGTTGGAATGTGCTGCCCAAAAGAGTTTGGCAAAGATACTTGTGGTTGTCCGGGGAAACCAGGCCTTATGGAATTTTGAGGACTCAGTCCCATTTGTGGAGGCACAGAATAACCTCCTGTAACAGCAGCAGGCCCACCATGAGCTTGCTGCCAGAGAGCTGGATTGTACCCCTGAGAAGGCACCTGTGTGGTGTTCGATTGATTAACCTGAGGATGGACATGCGTGATGTATCCAGCTGATCTTGCCTGGAACTTCTGTGGTGGCAGCCCAGGGATTTGCATTGGAGCAAAGGGCTGGCCATAAGGTGCCTGATTTTGTGGGAGATTGTGGGACAACTGTTGCTTTGGATCTGTAGTTGGAAATTGGGGGTTTGGAAACCGAGTTGGGGGAAATGGGCTTTCCCCTTGTGGCCAGCTAAGATGGGTTCCACCATGGGGAACAGGATTGGGAAGTACTGGAACTCTGGGGAAATTCAGATTTGGAGGGAAGGTTTGTAGTTCTTGTGGGAGATATTCAAAAGAGGCAACAGAAGGACCTACAGATTCAAGACTGGAAGGGCCAGTTCTAGAACCAACAACTTTCTGGCCGACTACAGGTTTTCGGGCAGCAGGTCTAGGAGGCGGCCTTTTTTCAATCTCCCTGCAGAAAGTAGTATGTCAAACAAGCATTGAATGAGATGCATTGTTGAAAAACAGCCATTTGAAAAGGAATACCTTTAGTATTAAGTGGTAGTAGTCTACTGGTTCATAATTCACACTGATAAGTATGCTTCAGATTCATAGGTCTAAACATAGGCATCCCACAATCTAAAATTGTGTCTTCTGTAAGTCAAGGTACTTGATCCTGTACATTCAGGTGACCGTCTCTTCCAACAGTCTACAGAAATGTAAAAACATATACGCACAATGTCATAACCTTCTACTTGAGACAACTTACTTTTCCAGCAAGGCAACTCGCTCCTTCTCTCTGGTTTGGCAACAGGACTTAGTTTTGTCCAACAAGCCAGAGGTCTTCTTGTCCAGATCCTGGTAGAAGTCTCTGCCTTCCTCCGCCTTCTTCATCAAATCCTCATATGCCTCAAATGAGGCGGTCAGGGCTTGAACAGTTCCATTCCATCTTCAGGACAAAATGAGAGGATTACATACAATATCACTGAAACAGATACTAACACTTGAAATCTGAATCTTTTGACTATGAAAATACACAGACAAAAACATACTGTTGCTCTGTGAGAATGAGTGTCTTGCGAACAGGAGCGTACTGCACATTTGCATCCGTCAGGGCTTTCAGGATGTTATCCTGAGCAATCAAGTTCTGTTCTATATATCCCTTCAGCTGATCATATTTCTTCAACTGCACCGCAAACAATGTCTGAAAAAGAGGATGGAGGGAAAGACATTTTTGACTGGTCATTCGTTCAATCGCAATCGACAGCACAAAGCAATAAAGAAAAGGCAGTGGAGTATCAGTAGGTCATTAACCTTGATCTCAGCACGATCTGTGGTTACCAGGACTCCAGTGATGTCATCTTTATGAATAAGGTCACGGAGCTGACTCTCCAATGAGATCCTTTGCTTTCGCATTTCATCAACTTTGCCAAGAATAGCCTTATATTTTTGCAAGGATGATGTTTCATCTACAGAGAAAAGAGATCATTACATTTTTAGGGATAATGAATTAACTCACAACAGATGAGGTCTATGTATTTCAATGTACATCTGTAAAAAACAATTTTACCTTGACTGAGTTGTGGCTGGGGCAGGCTCTTTCTGAGTTCCTCAACTGATCCCTGTAACAGGCGTAGGTTTGGTATGTGCTGGTTCATGGCTCTGTGGAGCTCGGTGTTGGTGTGGCTGGCTGTCTGATGAGCAGCTTCATATTTCTTCAGCTCTTTCTGAATCTCCTGCAAGACTTCAGATCTGGCCGGCAATCCATTCTGCCCCACAACCTCCATTAAACTCTTCTCTCCGGCCTCATCTTCCTCAAGGGCACTACGGACCTCATCCAGAGATGAACCCACATCAGTGTAAACATTAGATAGTTCTGCAACACACACATGATTGGATGTCATAAAAGGCATCAGAATAAAAATCAAACAATAATAGTAAAAAATGTAATTATAATAGTATTAGTAATTAGTCAGAAATACCATAAACATAACATTTCACAGATCATAGAATCCTTGTGAACTACAGATCATAGAATCATTGTTTTAATGTTAAAATGACTTATAAAAAAAATTTAAACATAAAGTAAAATGGCAGACTTCACATTTAATTGTCACAAATTAAAAGATTTTTGTCATCATTTTAATTCTTTGTTTGTCAATGTGTTTATTCTCACCTTGCATGGCCTGGACGAGGTTCTTAACGGTCTCTGGCCGTACACTCAGAAATGCACATTTTTCCAATACAACATCAGGCAGAGACTTAAACATGTCAATTTTATACACCGCGTCACTGCTTAGAGACTCCATAAATTTTCTGCATGAATTAAGAAGAGGAAACATTTTCAGCTACTTTAAAAGCCTATAGATACACAGAGTAAATTGACTTTTAAAGGGTTAGTTCCCCCAAAAATGGAAATTCTGTCATTATTTTCTCATCGTTCTTGGAAACCTGGATGACCTTTGAGGGTGAGTACATTATGACAGAATATTTTTTTGATTTTATGAGTAACTTACTCAAGGATTTGGTTTTTGTCCTCGATTTTAGCCACAACGTCCCTGAGTAACTTTGCCTTCTCCTCACTGAGAGAGAGAGAGAGAGAGAGACATAATGTTTAAAAACAGACACTTTCTACATACACTTTTAAAGTAACACATCAATGAAGCATGTTACCAATGTACCAGCTGACCTGTAAAGGGATGATGCCTCATGAGTTGCCATGGGAACAAGTTTAGAAAAGAGGTCTGGGCCAGTGACACTTTGATCAGTTAGGTTCATAGGTAGGGGTTTCACCAACGATGCACCTGTGTAGCAGATGTCACAAATGTGAACTAAATATTAATTTCTAAGCTGTATAAGCTGATCATTTTAAAAGAAATATGAGAGCTGTTCGTATACCTTTTACTGCCACCAATGTGTCCAGACCGGGCACAGACTCGTGGTAAATGAAGTCATTGTCCTTCTTAGCGGAGTTATATCTAAAACAGACAAAATAAAATAATGACATTAATCAAATATTTTTAAAAAGACTTTTGGAGAGATTAAACACCACAGCATACACTGAAAACTTTTAGGGGCGGTTTCCCGGACAGAGATTAAGCCTAGTCCTAGAATAAAATGGCCCTTTAAACCTGATTAACAAAAATCTGCTTTCTATGTCATGGCTTTAAATAGTCCTAGATTTAGTTTAGTCCAGAGTTTAATAAGCCGATTTCCTGGAGGAAGACTACAGTTACTCCAGGACTAAATTGAGTCGTAAATTAAACCTACCAGGAGGCAGGTTTAACTTCAGATTAACTTTGTGTTTCAAAGAAGACACCTGCATTACTTGGATACACACATACAGTACATATATCAATATATTATTTAAACATTTAATTATGTTTTATTTGTATCGGGTTTCTTGTTAAAATGTGATTAGTTCATGTTAAACTAACTTGAAATGGACACTTCACTTTGACTTTACTTGATGTTTTAATTTTGAAATATGTTTCAATCTATTAACCCAGCCATACATTACATTCACTTCCCATCATGCTTTGCACAGGGCTGAAATGTTAATTTTGAAATAAAGTGATGTTTTATGCAATTATTTTAGTAAGATGAGAAAACAGAGAGAAAGTTTAATGTTCTATTATTATGTTGTTATTTAAACGTTAATGTTATGTTGGTATTTTTGGGGGTTACCGTTTTGGTGAAGTGTTGAGCCTGTGCTTGGAGCGAGGACCTGCTACAAAAAACTCAAGCTGTATAATTAATAAAGAAACCACTATGGTACTACTCTAGTTGAAAGTATTGCTTCTAGACCATCAACACAAAACACCACATGTGTAAATTAATGTTTTAGTAAATTTATGTAAATCACAGGAATAAACAAGAAGCATTAATTATAGTTGTTTGAATAATTCATTTTAAATGAAAACCATTCATTGTTAAAGAACACCATTGATTCTAGTTGTACATCGTTGATTTTATATGTATTTTGTTTATATATATATATATATATATATATATATATATATATATATATATATATATATATACATACATACAAACAGATTTCCTGACATTTCCTCTCTTTTATTCCATAGCTGGTGTGTGCAGATTATTTATCTTGCATAAAAATTAATTACTCTTGTTAGTAAATGTTTTTTGATTGCAGTCTTTTTCTGATGCCATTGTTTTCTTTGGATTTTCTTCTCAGTTCCATGCAATTTTAAGCTTTTCTTGGTTCATTCCATGTTTTATAGGCAACCTCTGTCATGCTAATTCAGATTAGCACAGTTGGTTTTAATTTAATCTGATTTATTTTAGTTCAGGACTCCATAGTCCAAGTGTAACTAATCTGTACTTAATCTGTGTTACAAAAAGCCATTTTTTAAGACACGATTAACTACTCTAGATTAAGACCTACTCCAGGCTTAATTTAAACCCTGTCCGGGAAACCGCCCCTTAAAGACTCAGGATGTGATTTGGGTATTATCAGAGAATGTCTAATTGAAGAGAATTGGCACTTGCTGGTTACTTCCGGGTTCTGGACTGGCTGCAGTAACACGTCTCCGTCCATGCGGGGGCGCTCGCAGTCGAGTGCAGAATGAATGGGAGTCAATGGGGTTTCACCCCCATAAATCCACTTTTCTCAGGATGTAATTTTTTGTCAAGTAAATTGAAAGTTGCATTCAAAAGGGAGGGCTAAGATAATACACTCAGCTGAAAATTGCATTTTTAAGTTCACTTATCTGTTCTAAAAATCCGTTCAAAAATGTGATGACGTCACACAATAGCAGAATGCTAGCGTGTTCCAGCCAACAACAGCCTAACCTGTAAGAAATCAAAAGGACTTAAGTACTCGTTCATTCGACTTTTGGCCTATAATCTATATTGAACTTGCGGAATCAACAATAAAATCTATGTTCATTTAACGACAAGCAGGTGAAAGAGACACTTTTAGCCGTTTAGCCCCATAGACTCCCATTCATTCTGCTCTCGCCCGCAATCACCTCCAGTGGAATTCTAATGGAACTGCAACCAGGATGATACACAATGGGGCTAATAGGAAGTGCCAAGGCTCACCGTTAGACGGGCTCTGGTATCATCACAGTAATAAATTTAAGATCTTACTTTCCACCAATCACATCCATGGTGAATTTCAAAGCTTCCTGTACAAGTTCTGGTTGACCCTGAAAAGGTTGATGAGTACACATGTAAAAGTGTTTAATGAACAGGTGGGTTGAGTGCAGGTGTTGGAGAATCTTTACCTTGCTCTGCCTTATTGCCTCATTAAGTTTGTCGATGGAGTACTGAAAGTATGCGACCTGTGGAGAAACAGCAGGCGACCTCACATTGTCATCACATTATATTATGCCCATATTGTGCAGTGATACTCAGGAACATCAAGTAATCTCAAATATCAGCCAGCAAAACATAAATAAACATATTAATATTAATAATAATATATAATAATAGCACATTCAAATGTCATGTCAAAAATTACGTGTTGCTAAAAACTAATGCACACAAGCACATACTTACAGCTTCGCCGTATTTCTGCTGTTCCTCTGACTGCTTCCCCATGTGTAACTAATGAAAATAAAATGAGGCATGGTTTATGAAAATAACCAACAAGTCTGTGAAAATGCATGAAAGGGATAGTTCACCTAAAAATGTAGATGCTGTCATCGTTTACTCACCCTCAGGTTGTTCCAAACCTGTATGAGTTTCTTTCTTCTACTGAAGGCAAAAGAAGATATTTTGAAGAATGTCAGTAACCAAACAGTTGATCGGCCCCATATTTCCATACTATGGAAGTCAATGGAATCCATGAACTGTTTGGTTACTCATATTCCTCAAAAAAATCTTCTTTTGTGTTCAGCAGAAGAAAGAAATTCATACATCTTGAGGGTGAGTAAATTTGCCTGAACTATCCGTTTAATATAAACCGCATGGTGAGAGTGTGATGGTCTCACATGTGTGACGGCACTGAAGTAGCTGATCTTCATGCTGATGAGTTTCCCCCACTCTTTCTGAATCCTTCCTGGCACACATTCTGAATTATCCAGCAACCTCATGCAATCCTTATAATAGTCACACACCTGCAATCAGACATTAGTGTTGAAGTGGCAAATGCTCTTTGAATCAAAGACCTGCTGTGATGTTGTTGACAGATAAGCACAAGCACAGAACTTCATACCCGAGCACAAATCTTTGCTATTAAATGACTCTTTCTGTTGTCTAGTAGAGTTTTCTCCAAGAGACACTCTTGAGCCTGAGCCTTCAGAGAGAACGATAGAAACAGAAAAAGAGACGAGAGGTTGTCAGATTTAAGTGGATTTTCCCAGGTAATAAAAGTAGCATTTGTGTGATGGACTGTGTTTACCAGCATGAGGCTGATTTTGATTGAAAGTGCCTGGCCGCTCATGTCAGAGCTGTAGCTATGATTATAGTGGTCTCTGAGGTAAGTGAAAGCCCCAGCAGAACACTGGAAATGCGTACAGGACACTTTCATCCCCTTAACACACACAATGCACACACAAGGAGCAAAAGGTTAAACATCAGGGTATCGTTTCATTTTTTCTTAAGATTTCTTAATAGCAAATATATGTAAGAGTGCATGTTCACCTCCTCAGACAGGCGGTTATCCACAGCTCCCAGCAGAGAGTGCAATGCACCTAAAATACATTGGAGGGATTGTTGATAGATGAATTACTAAGCAAAACACATTTGCAGTAATCCATACATGTGCTGGTAGTTTGACTGCATTTAACTCACCCAGGTTATACAAGACACAAGCCTGCTCATAGTTAATATCATCATGTGTGACATTCCTCCCTGAGAAGATGTCCGTCCTGCGGGCAGAAAGAAAGCATGAAAGCTAAAACGGCATGACTACCACACATCTTGAATATCGACATAGCAAGTATGGTCTTATATCAAAAAGAGCATCAATGGCATAATTTTACCAAGTCACGGACACTGCAGCCTCCTGGCCAGCTGCCATGGGAACACGACTCTGCAGAAAGTGCAGCTGACCACAGTACTTTCGAAGAGTGTTGCAGCCCTCAAAATCCCTCGGGATGTTTACCACACTCTGAGAATAATATTAAATAATAAGAATAAAGAACCTTTTTAAAGCTTGTTAACCACATACACAACTGTACAACTACATTTCCAACAACCCCACTGATCTTAGCCACCTGTCTAAGTTGCTCCAGCCTCTTCAGTGACTCGGTGTAGTTCTCAGGGTTCTCACCATAGTTCATTTGAATGTACTGGGACAAAAGACGGGGGAAAGAATACTATTATATTTTCCTTCTAATGCAATCCAATGCAGTTGACACCAATGTTACTGTCATACAGAGAATAAAACTATCAGTATCAGGCAAGGTCCTTTTGTTAGCCTAATGCAAATGTGTAAAAATAAGGCTAGCCAAAGTGAGGGAGATCATTTGGTTTTCAAATGACCAGGTTACACAAGACATATGTTTACAATTACAAGCACAAAGGCTGAAAATATCAGTTTCATAATAACTGCTTTTAAATAGATACATGAGTAACATTGCCCTTGAAATAATTCAAAAAGACAACTGCTTGCATAAAATTACGATACAGGTCTAAGTGTTCTGCAGTACTTATACATAGAATAATATGTTTCAAGAGGCAAATATTTGTGAAACATGAAAAACTGCCCCTGGAATATTGCGCAATAATCAAGACGTTTCTTAATTTTCATGTCTATATCCATAAATATTTTAAACAAAACATTTTCTTAACAATACTACCCTAACTTGTGATCAGATATGTTTTCATTAAGTTTGTGAAAATAAATAAATAAACTTTTACCCATACTTATGTAAACTTCCCTAAATTACAAAACGGGTAAATACGTATTCCTTACTCAGTTTATGTTACGGAAATCAAAGAGCTGATCTCTGTTGTGTAACAGGCTGGATTAATGGGACGCGGATTCTCACCTGTCTGACAGGAGGACTAAATTGAAACACTCCAGCTTCCTTTAGCTCCAGCCAAATCATCGGCAGCCTGGGAACGGCCTCCATTTCGACGCCACGAAGTAACTATTTCAACTTAACACGACTTTTCACCGGTTTCGTACAACTTGTTTTCTTAATTACCTACAAAGACGAAGCTAATTATTATGTCTCGATTTGATCAGAAAACTTGACGCCGCAATCCGCCTGACGCCCCAACCTTTGACTCGCTTTCAAAATAGTACGTCACCGGAAGTACGTCACAATGCATAGCATGAGCCAGAGCATGGGAGCATGGTGATGAATCATAGACATGTACACTAGACCTCACCTTGGGGTTCTAAGCATGCGTCAAAACCGCCGCCATCTTGGAACAGGGGTCTTGTCATAGGAAGTGGCTAGGTAAGCCTGCTATCTCTGCCTTTACTTCGAATTCATTGATGGTGGCGGACTTTTGTGCAGCGTATGATGTTCACGGATGAAATCTGAACTAAGAAGAATGTTTTAAAAAAAAAAAAAAATAATAATTTTCTTTTTGGAATCAATGATAAATACATGTCTGACCGTTGGAACAAACCAAAAAAACAAGAAAAATCGCATTCATGATGATTTATGGTGATTTTATTTCCGTTAGACCTGTGTCTACTACATTGACACTGATGCATTAAAGTGGAGGGGCTCCGCTGTTTCAAGATGGCGGCTCTATTGACGCATTCGTTCCAATGAACTGCCGTAGCCAAGGTGAGGTCTAGTGTATGTCTATGGTGATGAATGATGATGAATTTTATTTATAGTGGACTTTACATTTGACATCAAATCTCAAAGTGCTTACAGAAATGAAAAAAATAAATAAATAAAAAAATAAACAGACACTTACGTAAAATAAATGAATACGCAGAAATACTTAAAAATACGCTTTCCTAAAAAGATAAGCTTTCAGTTCTTTTTTAAAAACATCCGTAGTTTTGGGAGCTCTGAGTTGTTCTGGAAGGGCATTCCACAGACGAGGAGCGGATGCTTTAAAAGTCGTGTGTTAGGTATAAAAAGGAGATGCCGATTACCTGCTCTAGTCTTGGTAGAGGTGTTTCGGGAAAGGAGAGATCAGTGTATGTGGGGGCCGCACCATGCAGACAGTAGTGAGTGTGCAAGAGGATCTTATATTCTATGCGGAAGTGAACAGGAGGCCAGAGAAGGGATTTTTTATTAGACATTATACAAACATACAAACAATAACATGACATCCAAAAAGACAACAATCCAAGATTAGGGATTTAAGAATAGGAGTAATGGGGGCGTGTCAAGATGGCGGAGTGACAAGTCGAACTTTACACAGGCTCTGATCCATTTGTGTATAAGGCCGTTTATTCCTGGTCTGTGGTTATTATATTTGCTTATTTAAATGCTTTAAAGCCCTTTATTGCTACTTTCGTGTGATCTTTTGTTTTTTGTAAGACTTGTCGCTTGCCTTTCTACGTTGAACTTGCTGAAGCGATGGCGGGGAAAACTGGAGAACATTCTTATGTGTCAACACCAGATTCAGATGTTGTCAGGGAGGAAGCAGATGTGATGGAGGTTGTAGTGTCGTCTGCTAAAGATGCTCGACAGCAGACTATGCCTCACACCCCTATAAAAACACTTTCTCTTAGAAGCAATGGTAGTTCTCCCCTTACCAGAACTCATTGGAAGTTTAATAACAATCTGTTAAAGTGTGAATCATTTTGTAAATCTGTTTTGTTAATGATTAACGATGTTAAAACTATGACTTAATTAACTTCAATTGGAAAATGGGAATGGGTTAAATTTAATATTAAAAAATTGGCAATTAAAGAAGGGAAACAAATTGTAAACTCTAGAAAATTAAGGCAGATAACAATTTTATCAAGACTAAATTTTTTTGGTAATAAAGATATTCTTAGTGAGAGAGAGCAGAAAGAACTTCACTCTCTTCATTTAGAGCTGGATGCTTTTTATACTGAAAAGGCTAAAGGAGCATGTGGATTGAGGAGGGGGAGAAAAACTCTTCATATTTCTTTAACTTAGAAAAACATAAACAAGCTTTAAAAAATATTAATAAACTAAGCATTAATAACTGTATAAGTGAAGAGAAAACAGCTATTGATAATTACATCTATTCCTTCTATAGTGATTTATAAATCAAAATTTACAACAAGAGATTGTGATTTTTTCTTTTCATACTTAAAAGATGAAGTTCCTATAATAGACTCTAGTTTTAGAAATATGATGGAAGCTGACATAGAGATTTCAGAATTGGATATTGCAATTAAACAAATGTCTAATGGAAAGTCTCCAGGTATTGATGGCATCACAATAGAACTATATAAACATTTTTGGCCCGAAATAAGAACTTTAGTTTTTGAAGCACTAAGAGCGTGTATAGATAAAGGTGAATTGTCATCATCAATGAAGCATGGCTTAATTACTCTAATTCCAAAGTCCAACAAGGATAAATTATTTTTAGACAATTGGAGACCAATAACTCTGTTATGTAATGATTTCAAATTGCTTTCTCATGTTTTTGCAAATAGACTTAAAAAAGGCATCAGTGAAATTATTAGTGAAACTCAATCGGCTTTTATTAAAGGGAGAAGTATTCACAGTCATATTAGATTGGTCCATGATATGCTTGATTATAATCATCTAATTCCTCTCAGATAAGCTTACTTTTATTTCTAGACTTCTTCAAGGCGTTTGACACCCTTGAACACCCTTTTCTGTTTAAATCATTAGAAATGTTTGGCTTTGGCCCTATGTTTTGTAGAGTGATCTCCATGTTCTATAATGATATTTTCAGTAGCATTACCCTTAACTTGGGTTCATCACCCAGAATTCAAATTAAACGAGGAATCCGCCAGGGATGTCCTATTTCACCATTACTTTTGAATATTTCAGTCGAATTAATGTCCTTGTTTATTAAAAAAATGGAGGACAATGTGGGCATAGACATTCTCGGTAGAACCTTCACTATAAGCCAATTTGCAGACGACACCCTTTTATTTCTTAAAAATAAAGAGGTGCTTCCATTACTCATTGATCAAATTAGTATTTTTTCAAAGGCATCAGGTCTGACCCTAAACTTTAAAAAGTGTGAATTAATGGCTATCCATAATTGTGATTTAGAAGCTAGAGGGCATTCCAGTGAAAAAGGAGGTTAAGTACCTGGGGTTATGATTACCAAAAATGTTGTTGATAGAGAACATTCAAATTTGAATTCTAAGATAGAAAATATGAAGAAATCCCGGTAATCTCGAGACCTATCCTTATTGGGTAGAATCCTCTTGACTAAAATTGAGGGAATATCTAAACTTATCTATTTATCACATGCTTTGTATACTGCTCCAAAAGTAGTTAAATCAGTGACTTCAATTTTATTTAAATTTATATGGAGAAACAAAACGCATTATCTACGTAAATTCCACATGGTTAAAGAGTGTGAACATGGAGGTTTGAGAGCCATTGATTTTGAATCTCTTCTTGGTACTTTCAGAATAAAATGGCTGAAAGAGTGTTTAGCAAAGTCACATTCAATATGGTACCATATTCCCAATCGCATGTTCAATAATATTGGCGGTCTTGAATTTGTGCTGAGATGTGATCTTGATCTTTGTAAAATTCCTCTGAAGTTATCAAATTTTCATAAACAAGTATTGCTTTTTTGGAAAATGATATTTACCCACAATTTCTCCCCTCACAACTCCACTCTATGGAACAATAGGGCTATAGTTATTAATAGGAAATCTTTGTTTAAAACTGATTGGTATAGTAAAGGCATTATTTTTATTCATGATTTATTAGATGATAATGGATATTTCTTCTCTCATTATGATTTTATTAATAAATATAATGTTAGAATTACAATGAAAGGTTATGATAAAGGATGCAGTGCTATACCTATTGGATTGCTAAGAATAATTCAAAGTAGTTTTCTTGATCCTGTAGCTAGACCAGTATCCCTTCCCTCTTTAAAAAATATGTAATGTAGACCTCTTAGACAGTAAGTGCAACAACAAACTTATTTACAAAGAACTCAAACGTATTATCAATGGTGATTTTCAGTGCTATTTTTTGGGTGATGTTGAAACCTCAGTGAAGGATAAAGCTTTTACATGCTATATGGCATACCCAGTTGCTCCGAAGATCAAGGAGACTCATTACAAAATTATGTTTAAGGTTTACCCAGTAAATGATTTCATCATGCAGAAACGATTTAATTTCGAGGTGGAACCTTGTGGCTTTTGTTCTTCTTGTCCTGAAACACTCGATCATCTTTTCTTTTATTGTCAGATTACTTCGAAATTTTGGTTTGATATACATAGCTGGCTGTCAGTTAAAATAGAGACGGTTCCTCCTGTAGCCCTGCAAGATGTGCTCTTTTTTAAGTGTGATTTAAACTTACACTTCATTGATGTTGTAAATTTTGTTTTATTGATGGGTAAATATCATATCCATACTTGTAAATGGAAAAAAATGTAAGCCCTCCTTTAATATATTTCTATGTTATTTTACTCAAATGTTTCAGAGCTTCAAATATTTCAAAAAACGTAATAGAAAGTTTGAAACCTTATGTCTCTCTTTATCAAAATATTTACTTTTTTAGTATTTTAATTCCTTTCATGTATACTGGCTATGTGATTGTTTTTGACCCTTGCTCCTTTTTTTTTCTTCTTCTTCTTCTTCTTCTTCTTCTTCTTCTTTCTAAATCCATACTATTGATCTAAATGGAAGTGTCTTACAGTTTTTGTATGTTCCCTGTCTTGTTCTGTACATAGGCCTAATGCAAAAAAAAATAAATAAAAAAAAAATAAAAAAAATATTTGAAATAAAAGCAAATACCTAAAAAAAAAAAAAAAAAAAGAATAGGAGTAATATGTTCATGTTTCCGCACCCTCATTAGGACCCTGGCAGCACTATTCTGCACAAACTGGAGCTTTTGGAGGCTCCTACCAGGGATCCCCCACAGCAGTGCGTTATAGTAATCCAGCCTGGAGGAGACAAAGGCAAGGACGAGCTTCTCTGCAGCTGAGAAGGAAAGAGAGGAACGCAGTTTGGAAATATTACGGAGGTGAAAAAACGAGGTTTTACAGATTGAGGTGACATGATTGTCAAAAGAAAGGTATGAGTCAAACTTGACCCCAACATTAGTAAAGGAGGGAGAGAGAGAATAGTGTTGCCAAGAAAAGAAACAAGTGTGAAAGGAGATGAACGTAATTGGTGAGGTGTTCCGATTTGGATGGCTT